GATCAACAAATAACTTTTATATATTTTAAAATACATTTATACACATACTATCTAAAAAAAACACTTTGATCACTTTGTTTAATATACAATAGATAATAATGACAGATGATAAACAATGGTTAATATCAATATCTTACTCATTTTCTCCTGTCTCTTCTACTATAATGATCTATTACAATATGTTCCATAAATAACTATAAATATTTCATTAATATCCTTGTATTTCTACTAAAAAAAAAGAATAAGATCTATCTATCTATTTATTCTAAAAAACATTGATATAAAAACATGTCATTTCTGCTAGGCTAACAATTTTGTTCCTGTTATTTTTCCCTATCTAACCTTGTATATATATATATATATAAAGTTTTCTTCTTCTTGTTTTCTCCTTGTGATTTATTAGAAGAAAGAACAGAATTACTTTTTTTTTCTTCTTCTTCTTCTTCTTCTTTGCTTTTCATACTCAATTTCTGCTTATATTATTATTCCAATGTAACGTCAGCTATGTTGGATAAAAATAAATGTGTTTCTCATTTTAATCAAAGCATTTGTTACAATGTTTTTTTACCAAAACAATATGACGTTGTTTCTATACATCTCATTCATCAATAGTTTAAAACCTATCATAATTAATCCTATGAGACACATTGTAATATAAATAGTAAAGGTGTTAAAGTAGAGAATAAATAGTGGATATACACTATCAACTACTATACCACAATAATGTATGTTTGTGAGAAGAAGGACTAGCTGAACTTTTAGAAGAAAAAATAAAAAAAGAAGAAAAGAAACTCAATAAAAATGTTCGATCAAATTAACTTTTTATTCTTTAACAAAAAATAACGCCGATTAAATCGCTCATTCACAGGCAAAAAAAAATAAAAACTTGCTATATAGACATGTATACTAAAAGTTTAATATTTGTCTTTCTTGTTTGCACATAAAAAAAAAGTCAACGAAACGTATCTATTGTTTCAAAGTAACAAAAAAAAAAAAACATAAAAAAAATAGTAACTAAAACTAAATTTTAAATACTTTTACATTGCTCTGATTCGCATTTTTTTTTTTCTCTAGAAAATAAAGCGAGTGTATACATTAATTCTCTATAGCTCAACAATAGGATAGAGTCAATAGTAGGTAACATTTGATTTTTTTTATACTAAATGAAATATTAAATATTTACTCTTATATACGTTAAACGTAACTCTGTATGTTAACGATTTTTTAATTTACAGAAAAAAGAGAGAAGAAAATTGAACATAAAAATCCGAAGAATAGAGAGAGACTTACGCGTACAATGTTTATATTTTGTTTTGATTTAAGGAATTTTTCTTTTTTATTTGGACTACTTTTTATGCATTAAATGCGTAGTGCACATATCAATACAAAAAAATTTTCGGTCAGGTCAAGAATTTTGATCTCACTTCTATTTCAACATACATAAGTACTTTCGTGTGTACGTTTTCTCATTCATCTTTCTCTCTCTCTCTCTCTTTCTCTCTTCTTTCTACTTACACGATATTTAAGAAAATGAAGTTGAAGTGTACGAGTATTAATATACACAAAAGATTTCTAAGTTCGCTTTTACCGTTGTTGTTGTTCTAGTAGTAAACTTAATATACGAGAAGGAGAAGAATGAACAAAAGCATACACATACCGATAAATGATGACTATATAGGATGAAAAAGAAAAAGAATGAGTGTTATTTTTTTTTTTTTTTTGAAAAAAAACTTTGTATTCTTGAAAGTATTGAATATTTTATCTTTATAAGGCTTTTTTATCTTGTTCTCCCGCAAACACGCGAATTCTTGATAAAACAGTTAATCCATTGTTTAACAGAAACCATAGGAAAAACGAAAGCAAACAAATAAAAAAACATTTTCGTCGTTCCTCGCTGTTCACTAATAAAACAAAATTTAAAGTATCTGGAAAAACAAATCCACGATTGAATAATAAAGAATCAAAGAGTCGACCTTTATTAGAACAAATAAAAGTCAGCAAGGTCTCTACATCAAACAAAAATGCGATGTAGTAGCAAACATAGGTACGCACTAAACATAGTGTAATAAAAGAAAAAGTTCAGTAATTATTATTTCATATGAGAAATTTTTTGTCGGTCATTGAAAGAAAATACTTTTTTGAAAACTCAACAAACAGTACAATTAAATATATACTTCAAATTAACCATCCGATAACAAACTAAGAACAGATTACAAAGTGAATGAGAAATAGCAAATAAAACGTCATTCTGCTAACTCTAGCTCACAGCTGTTCTCTCATTCACTTCCATTCAAAAATTTTAATTTTCTGCTTTACCATTCGAAAACTTTTGAACGTAATGTATCGAAGTTCTCTGGTTATTCTAACAGAAGTAAAAGACCATACATTTCTATATTCTAGCAAAAAAATAGTAGTTTAATCTCGAAAAACAATGAGTGAGATTTCACTTCTTGACACCATAAATATTAGTCTTTAACAAATTCAAGTAAGAAGTACAAAACTCCAACGAAATGCATCTTTTAGTGAAGTTAACTACTACACTGATTTACCGAGCTTTCGACCTGTTTATTCTTCGGTCATTTTCAAGGCGAATGATAAAAAGAAAAAACGTGTACAGTATAAGAAGAAACAGAACGAACTAAATAAAATAAAATGTATTGACTTGTAAGTCTAAAGTTATGATCATAGAATTGTGAGATAAGGATTTTCAGAAAAAATCCTGAAATTTTTTTCAAAATTTTTAAAAGGTATATACGTCTCCTATAAGGGTGTATACATTGTACTTTATGAATCTTTACCATCACGAAACATCTTAGAATGATATCTTAATAAATGATTGCAGAAAACAGAACATATACAATCGACTGCACTATTTTAAACTTTCCAACCAACAAAAAGGTCAAGTTGTATTTCAATACAAACAATAATTATCGCTTCACGAAGAGTCGAGATCACCAATTTTCAAAAACGCTTGACCAGAATCCCTTTCTTCGCAGATTCTTCACACCTTTAATATACAAACAAATCGGCATAAATTGTATATCAGAAAAAAGGCACACACAGGTACAAGTATATAAACGTCTATAGAATTACTTGTTAAAGATCATCAACCTACTAACGGAGCTAAAACTACCTGTTATACAGAAAACCTAAACGTAAAAAACATTGAACGAACAGCAAACAATGCAAAACACATTAAAAATACGATAATGTCTAATTCAGAAATTAGAATCGCGTTTTTTGACGGAAAGTGAATACATGTATTCAACAATACTTAGACAATGCGGGTGACTGAAATGACAAATACAAGAATTCGAAACTTAACAAATTAAATCTTTTCTGATAGAATTTCAGGAAATTGAGGAATAAAGTAAATGTCATAGAATCTAATTCAAAGTATGTAGTATACCGTTTAGTTGGTTGAAATTTTTGAAAAATGCGACATCTTCTTTTACGCTTTCACTCCGATGAATAGATTAGCTAGTAGAAAAAGGGTAGCCTGCGATCACTGTAGCGTATCCTTTAATCTTCTCGTTGTCTTTATTTCTTTCATCCTACATCTGTTAATAAGAAGTATGAGAATGCGCAGAACGATCAATCTGAGCTGATCTTTCACATCAGTCCATTCTTTCAATTTGCTATACAACAAATAGAATTTAATCGGATAGTTTCTGAACATTTGAACAGCACATCAACGGTTGTGCGACGTTAAAAACAAATGCTATCCCGTACTTGGTCAAATACTCTCGTAAGTTTTGTTCAACGTTCTTGTACTTTTTTGGAAATAAACCAAGTACTTGCCACGAAAATCAAGTACTTGAATTGCTTTATCTTCTTGTCAAGTCCACTGCCAAGCACTTGCCCAAGTACCTGGGGAGGGAGGGGGAGTGTCAACAAGTAAATCAAGTATCTGATAAGTACTTTCAGGCATTAAGTAGTATTTTTTGAAAATACTTGTCAAGTGCTTGTCAAGTACCCGTGGAAATTTGCAAGTAAACAAGTACATCGCAAGTACATTCCCTAGGGATGCTAGAAGCATATTCATTCAATTCTGATTCTTTAAAAGAATAAGATTTGGATAATCACTTTTTGATTGGCAGTTTTCTTTAGTTTCCATTAGCGAATAGAAGCAGCCAAAGAAAAAAAAACAGCAGAGAAAGTGACATCTTCATGAAAAATTGAAGCAAACCGCTACTGTCAAAAAAGCACTTGTATTTAAACAGCCTATCTAATTTTAATTCATTTAAATTCTGTCATAAAACGGACTCTTAAATACATTTAAATTTTAGTTTTTCTATCGGACACATCAGACCTGTACGTTATATGCATATCTTTTTTATATAAGCAACGGCAAAACTTAACCATTCAATATTTAAGCTATTACTAACGTCTGTTATTTACGCGCTTAGGCCTCGTCTACACTACAAAAGTTAACGGAGCTTTAAACAATTCTATTGGCTAAAAGTTAGTTTAAGCCAATAGAATTGCTTAAAGTTCCTTTAACTTTTGTAGTGTAGACGAGGCCTAAGAAGAAATTAACAACTCTTTTTGATCAAGATAAATCAGTCAATAACAAAGGTTAAGGGTAATCACTATATTGAGCTAATTCAAATGTAATTTATGGATCATTTCTGTTGATTATTACAATGAATAGAATTGCATTGGCTTACCGTTAACACGTAGAGGATTGGCTCGGAATGGAATAATCATTTATTCTTTATTTTATTTCGCTCATTATCATCACAAACGCAATCTATGTAATTATCATAAATTGTTATGTTAAATGATAGCTGAGAAGAAGTTCTAATAGATAAGCCCTATTGGTAGAACGAAACCTCATTTCATAAAAACAAACACTGCGAACAGTATCCGGAGTTGTAGCTTTTGTTCCTTTTAGAAATTTGGAATCTGTGCTTATAAAAAGCGACTTTTCTTCTTGGAGAAAGTTTTTAATAGCATTGTCGTAGTTAAAATCAGCATGTCACGTTAACAATTTATCTTTATATCTCAAAATTATCGAACTGTGCATTTTTAGAATTTGATACAGAGCCATTTGGCATTGTTGTTGCTATCATGCGTTTTTTCATTAATTTGATATCATTTGAACCAATGTTTCTCACTGCTGGTCCACATCTGTAAATAGAAGCTTAGTGGTTTATTTTGAAAGGAAAGCCGCACACTGAATACCTGTTTCTTAATTTTCTCATAAAATCTGGTGCATCTGCTTTTTCAGTTGCATTAACTGCATGTTGAAGCATTCGAATCAGTTTTTCGAATGATAAACGAGCAGTTTCATCTGTGATATCCATGGCTATGCTGAGTAAGTCAAATATCTCTTTATCAGAAACCGGTATTCCAAATCCTTTTCGGATCAAATTCGGTATGGTATTTACAGTTAGTTTACCATCTATTAACAAAACAAATGTTGTTTCTTCTTTGTAAGAGATTTTAAAATTCTTTTTATACCTTGATCTTCATCAAATTTACTAAATAAAATAAAACAGATTTGACTATAAAATATCTGCGGAATTTATACCTTTATCTAGGATATATCTAACAGTTTTGCTGCATCTCTAACGGTTGAGTGAATAGTGATGTGCAAAAGAAGATAAAGGTTAAAGAAGTCAATGACTATTCTCGATAAAAAAGTTAATAACTACACGCTTTTCTTTTCGTATAAAATCATACTTGAAACGTTGTTGTATATCAGCTAGAGTAAATACATCATGTTTGATATGCCTAGCTACTGCAAATATAACTTCATGAAAATCCAATAACTGATTACCATCTATAGTATAAAATTCATAAAATATATGTTACTAGTCGAGCGAATAATGTTAATGTGATTTACCTAAATCAAAATAATTGATAATATCTTGACTTTCCTCTTCTGTTTTCTTGAAATATAAAGCATTTAGAACTCTTTTTAGTTCATTTGCTTCTATATGACCATTAGCGTTCAAATCAAAAAATGAAAATGCATCGTATATTTCACGAACCTATAACAGATAGATAGAGCTGATACTCTATTTTTGACACATAGTCTAGAACTTACAGTATCGGGCATTAATCTCGACGGTACAGGTGCCATTAATTTTCCTAAAAGTTTTCTATGATGCCAACTAGTTGTTATTCTCGAGTCTGATGTGTCCACTTTTTTATTGAATACTGTAGTTAAATCATATAGATCTGTATGTAACTGTACACTATCGAAAGCAGCATATACTTTTCTTGTATCAGATTCTTGTTTTGAATCGTTAACATCAACGTTGTGCAGTGATAAATCCATTAGAATAGATGTTAATTAAAATAATCTGTACTTTTTGTGTATGTCTACACTAAAAGATGTTTATCTATTTGTTAGCTGGAAGCAGGAATCTAGAACGAAATTTTAACTAAATATAAAGAAACAGAGAGCGGTAAATAAATGCACATCTGTGTGACTAAGTAAAACCTTTCTACATAGTACAAAATAATGAAAAAGTTAAATACTATTTTATTGTGCGGGAGAGTATCATGAGAACGATGTAATCATCTTTAATCGTACACTCTTTTTTAGATTTAAACTGATTTCAAACTGAAATCATGTCAAATCCACCGGATCCTTTCCATTCGTAAGTAACGTTCATATATTCTTCTAAATATTATATTGATTTAATTTCTTTTGTTTTTAATAGATTTCTTCCACAACTGCCTCCTCCACCACCACCACCACCTCAATTCGTGCAGTTGATGCCCAATATAGGCCAAGTTCAATCTGGTGTAGCTCCACCATCACTACCTCCATTTGGTAAATAAAACCTTATAATACCTAGACATTTCTTTTAAAAAAAATTGCAGCATTGACAAATAGAGAGATACTATCTGTTAAAACTGTCGCGTACAGAAGTTTTAACGATGCTTTCGGAGTGTTCCTCATGAAATCTATCATCAGTTCATGACATTATAAAGTTATTCAAAGATAAAAAACAAAAATTGCACTATTAAATGGTGATAGTTTAGAGAGCGGTATCCCAGAAATACATATATATATATATATAAATGAATGGTAGTTATACAGAAATCTTCTGTTTCACAGTTGTATTGTGTTGAATCTACAAATATACTCTGAGAAACCTTTTTATTAACAACTTTTATATATAAATTAATCTTCTTTTTTATTTAGATCGGTCTGTTCCTGGTCGAAATTCATTTTCTTCTCAATCATCACAACCACAACAAACAACTTCATCAATCACTGCTCAACCATTAATGAGTATTTCACCATTAATGACCAATAATACCGACACACATCAACAACGGTCATCTCAGCAACAAATAGATAATAGCAATTTCAATGCAAAACCCTCATCGAATAAAGAAAGTTATTTTTAGTTTTAACCAGACTGTTAAACTTACTTTGATTTCTCTTTTTTTTTAGGATGGCGTTCGTCTAGCTGGTAGTCTAGAAAAAATTTTACATTTTCGTGATACATTATCGCGTGATGAACAGTTAAAATCGCAGCAATTGCAAACAGATAAAAATACGACAGACAATAATGAAGATGAATCTGATGAGAATGAAGATACAGGATACGGTTCTGCAATTTCGACAAACAAAAAAAAAGATGAGAACAGAAAACGTCGACGTCAAAAGAAGAAAAAAAAAACGAAAAATAAGAATTTAAATGGAGAAGAAAAATTGACACCAACGATAGATCAACAAGAAATGAATGGTGATGAAAATAATGAAAATATTATAATTGAATATGTTCAAGAAGAATTACCAATACAAAAAGGTGATCAATATTATACACATTTTGTTAAAGTATTTCAAAATTTCAAAATTGATCAGTCAAAATCTGGTAACGATCCAAATAGTAAAGAAGCAAAATTAAAGATTAAATCAGAAAATGATAAACAAGTTTTACCACGTGATCGTACAATGATTGATCAAGACGATGAAGAAGAAGAACAAAAGGAAAAAGCGCAACAAGCCGATGATGCATTACACAAAAAGTCAAAAAAACAATTAAAAAAGGAAACACGTTTAAGTGTAGCGCAATTAAAACAATTAGTATCCCGACCGGATGTTGTAGAAATGTATGATGTGACGGCGAGAGATCCAAAATTACTCGTATTTTTAAAAGTAAGAAATTTTAACGATTGATTGATATTATTTAAGCCCTTGTTTCCTTTTTAGGCTACACGTAATACAGTGCCTGTTCCTCGTCATTGGTGTGCCAAACGAAAATATTTACAAGGCAAACGGGGTATTGAAAAGCCACCATTTCAATTACCAGAATTTATTCGTCGAACGGGTATAATGGAAATGCGTGAAGCACTACAAGAAAAAGAACAAAATAAAACATTAAAACAGAAGATGCGTGAAAAAGTGAGACCAAAATTAGGTAAAATTGATATTGATTATCAAAAACTACATGATGCATTTTTTCGATGGCAAACAAAACCACGTATGAGTATTCATGGGGATTTATATTATGAAGGAAAAGAAAACGAAACGCGTTTGAAAGATAAAAAGCCCGGTTTACTAGGTGAAGAACTTCGTGTGGCATTAGGAATACCGGTTGGACCTGCTGCAGAAAAATATCCACCACCATGGCTAAGTATGTGTGCTTTATAAACGTTGTTAAGTACGTTTCTTTTTTTCAATTTTTTCTTTTAGTTGCAATGCAACGGTACGGACCACCACCATCTTATCCAAATTTGAAAGTACCGGGTTTAAATGCTCCTATACCGGAAAACTGCCAGTTTGGCTATCATTCTGGTGGATGGGGTAAACCGCCGGTCGATGAACACGGACGTCCATTGTACGGTGACGTATTTGGAACAAATCAATATTCATATATGAGAGTAAATGAAGAAGAGTACGTCGATAAAAGTTATTGGGGTGAATTGGATGTAGAAGAAACAAATGAAGAATTACTCTCGTCATCTGAAGAAGATGGCGAAGGCACCGAGGAAGAAACAGGAGAAACAGCTGTTGGTGATAGTGGAATGGCAACAACTGTTGAAGGAGAGACAAGTGCCGTTAGTGATGGTGGTGTTAGTGGTTTTGCTACACCATCTGAAGGATTTATTACACCATCAGGCACAGCATCAACAGTCACCCAAGGTGTGGAAACGCCTCAGCAAGTAAGTTTTTGTTTTTTTCTATTTAGATTTATAAAATAATGTCAGTACTGTTTTCTTCCTTTTATTCTACTTTAGTTTGAAATACGTAAATCTCGTTTTCATCAAGAAATGGACGGAATTGACACACCACAAACAGCCTATCATGTTATACCCGAGAGATCAGTTCCCATTGCTGCTACTAGTCTTCTAGCACCAGGAAAAATGTACGATTTTACGGCAGCAAAAAAAGTTGGCATGGATAGTACATTGGGTACGAGTAGTCGAAATGACAGTGGTGTCGATATTGCATTAAATCCAGATGATATTGATTTGAGTGCACAAACAATTGAAACACGTTATAGACAAGAATTAAAGGATAAAGAATTACAAAAAGAAGATTTAAGTGATATGGTGGCTGATCATGTAACAAAACAAAATAAAGTACGCGATTTTTTCTTTTCTCATTTTGAGATAAAAATATCGTTCATTCATTCTGTCTTTCTCGTTTGCCTTTCAATTGGAGAAGTAGTCTCTCAACTCTCTTCTGAAGATGATTATATAATGTTTTAAAAACAGCTCTGAAACAAACTTTGCGTCAAAGAACGACTTTGTCCTATGCGAGTTAAGTTTTGAAACTTTGTGTTGAAAAACCATTTCTTATTTACCATATTGAAGAACATAGAGAATATCAGTTTTGATAAATAACCTTTGTTTATTATTTTTAGAAAAGAAAACACAAACAAACGGATACGAAAACAAAGAAACATAAAGAATTTAAATTTTGAAATGTTAGGATTTTTTATATATTTTTTATTGTTATTCATTTTTGTGCATGTTACTTATTCACTGATGTATTTTTATATAATGGTGTAAAAATTGAGCGTATCAAACGACTTTTTTTCCACTGTGTTTTTGTACAGCAACTACGTTTTATTGTTGTGTATTTAATAGAACAAAGTTTATATTAAACATGTTTGAGTAATATGATCAATTTCTGTTATCTGATTAATATAGTCGATATCTGTATGCAAGTTTTTATACACTTTTTTAAGCCATAAAGGATTAAAATCGTAGAAAGCTAAATACATCTTAAAGAGATCATAGTGTGCATATGATTGAGAAACTTTCAAATATTTTTTTAATTTTCGTATCCTATAGGAATGTTGTCTGACTTTAATTCATTTTTCTTGATGATATCTCTTTTCTTTTTAGGTAACATATATTTGTTTCCCTTGTGAGTTTTTTTATATTATTGGATTCATAGGATCATTCAACACTTTTTTCCGTCTTCACTAACAATTTTAACACCTATACATGCTTCATGCACACACAAAAAAAATCACAATGTGAAAAATAATATTTTATACACGTCAACAGTAATAAAAACTCGTTCGTGAATGAAATAAAAGACAAAGTAAAAAGAAACAAATGGCACCGGGCTTACATATAAAAAAACATAAAACAAAATGTGTTTTTTCCTAATTCAAAGATTCGAACTAATAGAACAAAAAAAAGAACAAAAAAAGTAATTAATATTGTATCGTAATGCAAAACTGAGGAAGTCACACTGAGAGTGTAAAGAAAATATTTATTGTCACCACAATTTTTGCTAGTATAAATAAGGTCGTAAATATCTTATACTATCATTTAGCGTTTTCGCACTATGAGAAAAACTATCTGCTTGTCCATAATACTGTTCTAAAATAAATTGCATAGATAACTGCTCGAAAATTCATAATTAAGATAAATTAAATATAATCATAAAAGAAAACAATATATTAACATGGTACATAGGTAGCTGAACCACAATTATTTTCTAAAAATATTTCTAATTTTTCATGTAAATCGGGATCACACCATTCGTAAACTTCTTGTGTTTTATATAAACGTGCGATTTTTTCTTCTTTTTTTTGTAACAATGATAAAGATGATGATGTTTTTGATGTTCTATTTCCATTATTATCAATTAAAATAACAAAACGTTTTAACGGTGATGTAGTTAAAATTTTCATATAATCATTTATGGTATTGTACGGTTTTTTTATTATAATGATAATAACACACGACTAAAAAGAGAATAAAGATGAAAATAAAAATATATATGGGAAACTTCAAGTCAAATTTCAACATTTTATTCAAAATATTAATGTTATTACTTTGTAGAATCATCTAGGACTGTTATTAGCTATGTTTTGATTAGAAAGATAGAAAAATCGTTACATCTACGATTTATAGAACTGAAAGAATCAAATTATTTAAAATTTAATACGTACATTGTTGATTAACCATTCTAAATCTCCAATCATTCGATCTCGATGTAAAAAATAAAAACTAAAACGTTTACAATAAATATCTTCTAATGTTTTTCCAATATGATTATGAACATATTCGCTATCACCAATTGAATATAATATTAATGCATCTAATTTAATTGTTAAACATGAACGTGTCATAAAATTTTGTTGTAATATTGTTGATTTATTTGAATTTATTGAACTATTTCGTTTAAGAAGAGATGTTCGCTGTTGTACTGGTGGATTAATTGAACGTATTGATGTTTGTATTGCACTTGATGAATGTAATACTGGTCGATTACTGTGTCTTGGAGGTGGTAATGGTGGACATTGTGGTTGTTGTATCTGTTTTATATCTAAATTTGTATTTGATACACTCAATGGAATAGATGCATATTGTTGAGATTCATTTTCATTTTCATCAGAAAATGATGCATCATTTTCTTGTTGTTCATATGCTACCTTTTGTTTTGTTGATAATAAAAGTTTTTGTATAGCTGTTTGATTTGTTGGCTGTGTAGATGTAGTACTAGGTTTATGATAATGATTATTATTTATTTGTGAATTAATTAATTTTTTTGCAACGGTTGTACGTGTTTTTATTTTCGTTGATTGATGACGTTTTTGACGACAACAAACAATACATATTATACAAATAATAATCATACAAAATATCAAAAATAAAAATATACTACCGCCAATAATAAAATAGTATCGATATTTTTTATCAAATAATATTGATAGAAATCGATTTGAATATATAGTAGAATCATTTTGATCATAATTTTTCAAATTTTCTCCTGAAATTAAATGTTGATCATGTGGTTTTTTACATGATTCACTATAAAAATTATTTTTACAACAATAATCACCATCAATTATTATTGTCATCGTTAATGTATCATATGTACGATTACAATAATAAATAAGATCATTATTTTTACCATAGCTTAACGTTCTCAATTTTACATTTGATTGAAAATAATTAATTGATGAATAAAATTTTGGTTGCCAATAATTTTTATATAGAGATAATGATTTTAAATTTGTTAAATAAGAAAATGTTTTTTCATTTATTGAATCTAATTTATTTGATGATAAATCTAAATATTCTAAATTTTCCATTGAAAAAAATTCCTGACCATTCAATTTTTCTATTAAATTATTTTTTAACGATAGATTTTTAAGATACTTTAGATGATTTAATGTATTTTTTTTATGTGTTTGATTTGATGATGATGGAATAGTAACAATTTGGTTATTATCTAAATATAAATTTGTTACTGTTAAAGGGATAAAATATGGTATCTGTGATAAAGTTTTCGAAGAACAATTAACAGCATTATAGATCCAATCTGTTGAATGAATACAATTACAGTTTAATGGACATAATAGACGACAATCGCATGCTTCAAATGTACAACATGAACATTTTTGAGGACAAAAATCATTGTATGTACAATAAGTATTAGATGAATTTAGATTTACTAATGAATAAGAATTTGATGAATCAATATAATCGATACATTTTAAATTACTTTGATTTAATAATTTTATACGAGATAATTTTAATAAATTTGCAGATAATCGTTGATTTAATTCAACATCATTTGTAAGAGTTATTGGTACATTGTTGATTGATGGATAATTGAAATCAATGGATTGTACGGGATATGGTAGTAGTTGTCGTCGTCGATGATATTTGACTGGTTGCCAACGATTAGAAATTGGATTCACTGATGGTGGAAGTTGATTTCTAAAACTAGGTACTTGTAATGGTTGCAATGGATGGAAAAAATTGGTCTGGAATGATGGATCTACAAAACAAAGAATGGAAACTCGAATGCTTACGCAACACTAGATGACTATACATAACACACTAACACAGTAAATTAAATACTTTGTATTAGTTTTACTTTGTATAGTTAAACGCAGAATTGAACTCTAAAAGACCTATTAAAACCTATTCTGAATTTTATCATAGAAAAAAATTATAAAATATTTGTTTATAACTGACGTTTATTCAGTGAGTGCAAATGAGTAGATGATAAGTGGAAAAGATATAATTATCTACATGGTTGCAAACATGAAATTAATGATTTCAGACAGTACAATATGGATAACTTAGAATAATAAGATGTATGAAATGCATTTATACGCTGGTTACTAACCAGAACTTTTTTCATTTCTATCAGCAATCGCATTTTGTTTATAAAACATTATAGAACGTCGAGAACATGGGAGATTCACTATTAGACGATTAGCTTGTACTCATCTATTAGTGTATCATGAATTATCTGTCATGACTGATATAAATCAACAGAACTCTAGTACTATCATATTCAGAATGAATCTCGAAACATATGTATATACGGATTTCGCCCTCAAAATGTTAATAAACCGATAGCATACCAACAAGTTTCTGACATAGTCATCCAAATTGTAACTCGTCATCTAATGCAATTTGCCCAGAACGCTAGCCAGTTAGATCCAAATATTCTTTCATTCAATTGCAAGAAGGCTAGTGGATATTGTACATCTCAACTGAGTGAGTACTGACGATCGGATGATCCGAGACACGAAGACATACCTAACTTGTCCAAGATTATTACAAGACTTATTCGCGTCGAGGTTCAAACATAGCACATTTCAGGCACTTTACGAATAACATCACCACCAAGCCATGCCATTTTCACAAGAAGCATGAAACAACGTGGGAACGCAGAGATCTAGGTACTGTCTTGTTGGTCATAACCAAAATCTCCACGTTTCGTGACATTTTCCAATCAGTACATCAGAAAACAGCCAGAAAAGTAGAGGTTCACTATAAGACTACCATCTATACTTATATTCGGCTCTACCATTGTCTGTCCTCATCTAACACATGTTTAGAGTAAAGTTGACTAATAGACAACGTACGAAATAAAAGTAAATGTAACTTCAATAAATATTGTCTGGTCATTGTGACGTTAAAAGCAATAAGACTCTTTTAGTATAATATAAAGACTATTTTAGAGTCAGTATACTAGACTATGAACATTAATCACGACTAAACAAGTTCTCACATCGCTTACTGAATCCTTGTCACTTTAACTGTTGCTACTTTCCTTTTTTTTGATCAATTATTTGAAAATAATAAAGTTTTTATTACCGTTAAGAGACGTATGATATGTTGTCTCATCTATTTTTTGTAGAGCATCCAAATTTTCATAGAGTGTACAATCACAATAGATTCTATTATTATTAATATTGAGTTCTATCATTGGACCACGTTTTCTTTGTTGAAATTGTACTGTTTTTATATTATTAAATTCTAAATTTAAATTAATAACATATCGTTCTTGTGTCGATGTTAACCGTTCATAATCAATCATATCAATATCATTATGTGATAAATCTATATAGAGTATCGGTAGATTATTATCAAAATTATTAGAAAATATAGAATAAGAATCATATGGAATTGGTAATCGTATAATATTTATTAAATGATTATTTGTTAAATTTAAATATCGTAATTTTTGTAATGGTGTAAATAAATGTTCAGACGATAATTGTTTTAATTGACAATTACTGATATCTAATATTTCAAGATAAGGTATTCGATTGAATGTATCCAATTTAATATCAATATTTAAATTATAACTTAAATTTAAAGAATTTAAAGAATATATATCTTTAAATGTAAAATAATCAATTGATTTTATTTCATTCAATGATAAATCTAAATATCTTATTGTTGATAAATGTTTAAATAGATTTGTTAATATAGTCAATTTATTTTTAGATAATATTAATGATATTAAATCTGGTGCTTCCATTGTTTGTATTAATTCTATTAATTTATCATTTGTTAATTCATTACCGCATAAATCAAGATATAATAGACGTTCAAATAAACCGCTTAATGTAAAAAATGATGAGGATATATGAGAATAGGATATTGTTAGATGAATCAATGATGACAATGACGAAAGTGAAAATGTTTTACTTATAAAATCAACATAGTAAAAAGATAAAATATGAGCTGTGGTATTCAATGATGTTAGATTTAATGTTGAATTATAAAATATCAATGTTTGTTGATGATTATGATGAGATAATGTTATTGAATAATCGTTAAAAAATGAATTTAAATAACGTAAAGAATAGGGATGTGATATACGACAGAAATGTTGTTGTTGTTCTTCATCATATGCCATTGTATTATAATGTAAACGATAAAATGTTATTTTTGTAAAATTATGTGAACAAAAATGTCTAAATAATTGATAAAATATTTTTGTATTTAATTCTAAATTATATAATTCTAATGGTGATTCAAATTCTCTATCTTGACGTTGATGTATTTGAGTATAAAATAATGATAATTGTTGTCGTATTTCATATTCAATTAAATTTAATTTTAATAAAAATTCTTCAAGACGATTATTCTCATTATTTTTCATACATATTTCCATTTTTTTATCATTAGTATTCATAAGTAATATACAAAGATTTGTTAAAGATTGTTGTGATGATTGTTGAATTAAACATGAACAAAAATCACATTGTAATATTGATAATGAATTATGATATTGAATTGACGAATAATGACATGGATAGAACAATGACATTTTACCATGAATAGAGATAATAAAATAAAATAGTATTATTATCAAGGAGGTATGTAATTTGGCAAAATAGATAATGACATTGTTCATCCTAAAAGAAAATCAAAAAACTTGAAATATTATTATAAAAAAACAAAAAAAAAAAAATGAGAAAAAAAATTACCGTAGGAAAAAACAAATAAAAATTGAAAAACTACACAAACGTAGTTTTATCACAAAATGACGACTTATTTCTTATTATTTCAATTGATGAATGTCAAGTCTTTTTTTTTATTTTTTATCAATAAACGTTTTTATCAGAGAGAAGAGAAGAAGCAAAAAAAAAACGATAGTGTTTTGTTTTTTCATTCTTATGCCTTACCTAATTCTTCATAGATAAATTTCATATGATTCAAAATACATCGCTGTCGCCGACTTATCTGATTGATCATGATGATAATGTTATTACACATTTATTTGTGTTTCTGATGGTATAAAATTTTTCTTCTTTCCTGTACAACATATGTTATTGTCTTATTGTAGGTGTGTTTATTGTTGATGAATACAATAATTTGCCATAAAAATGTCGTTACTTATTATATACTCTATAAGACAAAAAAAAAAAGAGAAAATAAAGAGAATAAAATCGCGTTTTATTTTTTATTTTTATTTTTATTTTCTTCCTCTTTTCTATATGAAACTTTACATATACAAAAAAAAAACAAAAAAAGAAACAGAGAAAAGAACAACAGCAGCAGTTTATGCCAAAGATGACACAAAACATCCATAAAATATTTTACAGTTTTTTTTTCTTCTTCATCTTCCATTGAATGTTATATGAATATACATATGTAGATTGTTGTGTAATAATCATCATTATTGTATATTTTTTGGTTAGTTTTCACTCTTTTTCTTGCCGATAGTCGGGCTCAATTATCTAATGAACATGTATACGTGTTTAATTCGTATGTTTTTAAGACTAATGAACCGTATAATTGTCTAATATTATGTGTTTGCTATTGTCCCTGAAAGTTTGTATATATAGAAAAATTTAAACAATAAAATGTGTATATACATCATTGGCTCATTTGTGTATTTTAAAAAAAAAAAAATGTCTGTTATTTACAGATCTAATATAGTAAATGTCTACTCTTTTTTCCCTCTCCTTTATCTTGTCAATCATGCGAAATAAAAGAAATTCAAAATGGAGCTAAAGTGCAATATTTAATCAACCATATAGTTTTGTTGTTGATATATTTATAGACACAAATTCTCCTAATTGAACAATGTACACACTTGAATATATATATATATATATATATGTGTGTATGTGTGTGCGTGTGTGTATGTATGTCTATGCTATATATATATACTGAACTCAATTAACAAAACAACCCGGCAGTTTTTTTCAGTTTTCAGGAATACAATTAAACCATTAACAATAAGAAATTGAATATGCATGTCTGTTGTTCAATATTATAAAGTCGGTTAGAGAAGAAGAAGAAGAGAGAGAAAAAAATAAAATAAAAATAACAATACCTGCAGAGGATTAAAGCAAAACTTATGTTTATCTTTTTAAAATATAGAAAGGAAAAATTGATTCATTTATTAAAAGTATGTACTTTAGTCCTATATTTGTGTATGTTTCTAGTACTTGTACTTCTGAAAAAGTCTTCGTTTTTTTTTAAATTCTTAACATTTGTTCGATCATTTTTGCTTCTTTTTTTTCTTTTTCTTCAACAACATTGTTTTAATCTTCTTTCTCTTATTAAACTTTTTTTTTCTACTATGTTCATGTTAATGTTTTTGATAATCAGCTATGAAGATAAGAACGACATAATGAAAGATTTTCTTTTCAAATTGAAACCATCAATCTATAAGTATTTTGTAAAAAAAGCAAGATAATGCGACTTACATATACCACGGTAGTTAATAGCACTAAGTCAGGAGATAATTATAAAAATGTGTTGTCCATTCTACACTTTTAATAAGTCGTGAATGCAATGAAACTATATTGAAGTTTTATTTCATTTTTCTTCTTTACTTTTAACACACACATACACACACAAACAGTTAAAACGAAGGAAGCGTTAAACGAAAAAAAAAAAAATGTCAAGGTGATTTACCCCATATTCTATTTTCATCGTCAAATTATGATCCCATTATCATTGATAAAGTATGACTCTTAAACAATATCAGTATACTTTTATTTTTTCAAAGAATTAACATAATAAAATAATCGTCACTATTTTTTATGTTCATAACAAAATGCATATCAAAGTGTTTTTATTCTCATAAATATTTTATAAAATCTCTTCTTGATATTCTCTGCTTATTGTATTCATATAAAGCTCAATTGGGAAGAAATTTTTATTATTTGCATCTTTTTTTTTTTTGTCCCCGATTAAATTTTTAGATTTTGACTGTGAGCGCGCGGCACACGCACGTATACGAGATTGACAAATACAAGTGTTTATACGTGTGTATGTATGTATGTATGTGCATATTACAGTGTACTATAGTATTCATATTTCGTTTGTCCTTTTTTTTTTTTTTTTTTGTTGTTGTGAACTTGTCATTTAAAAAAGAAAAAAAAAAATACGTACGTCTTTGATATATTTGATTTAGATTAAATTCTTTCCCTCTTTTTTTTTTTTTTAACTAGTAATACGTAATATTCACAATTGAATAAGAATAGTTTACAACGATAATGATATAAAAGAAAAATCAATGCCTAGTTCTATGAGCGAGATAGTTAGTATTTGTCTATTTCGATGTTTTATGATAATAATATATTAAATACTATCCGTTTTTCATTTTTTTTTGTTTCGTTTCTATAGCAAGGTCATCTTTTCTTTTTTGTTTTTTTTTTTTTGTTAATTTTAAAAAATGTGTATGCGCACGCGTACTAAGTCTATTTCTCAAATATTTTGCCATTTCATACAAGACTTTTTCTTCTAAACAAGGAATAATTGAAAAAGTGCTTTGACAACACCTGTGTAATTTGTATGCACGTATTCACAGGTAACATTTTTTTTTTTTTTTTTTGTATTTTATTTTTATTGTACATTATATTACTCGACATTTTCAATATAGAGATTTTTCACGTGTATTTGACACGATGAAAAAAGAAAAAAAATATGACGAGAAAATAAAATTGACGTTCTTATAAGTAAAGAAACAAAACAAAGCAAAAAAAAAGTATAAAGCCGGAAGGACAAAAAAAAGAAGAGAAAAAAAAATTGATAAAGTTTTTCTATTTATGTACAGAAAACATAATTTTTCAAGTGTAAGGTCATTGATACGGCTGTTTGAAAGAAGCCAGAGATGTTGATAATATCATGAGAAAAGTAACAATAAATTCACATAGATCTTTAGAAATATAACGAAAAAGTTGATTTTATTCTCTGATAAATAATGAATAGTCAAAATCTTCAAGAATCCATATATACATATTTTCTATTATTCAGTTACTTATCATAGTAAACTCATAGTTGCTTTATACTCGTTAAGAAAAAATTAAACGATTTTTCTCTCACTCTCTTAACGATATCATTATGATTATATTCTATATCTTGTACCATTCGAGTCTATCTTGTTTGTTTTTTTTTTTGGAGAAAATTTATTTAAAATTGATTATTTTTTTCCAAAATAAATGACAATTTTTCATACCTGAATTTATACACCAAATTTTTGTCAAAATTCAATGATATTATTTATATATGACTTTGTCTTTTATTTTTGTTTCGTCAATTTTGTGAACTCTGTTGTTTTTTCATTATTTTTACTTTGTCTAATAAATGATTTGAAATGGAAAACAGGAAAAAAAGAAAAACGAAGAAACGCGTGTTAATCAATTGCGCGGTTATGGAAAAAAAAGAAAAAAGAACAAAAATAGTATAGGCAAGGTTTTAATAATAAAAAAAAAAAAGAAAGAAAACTTTGTTCTGCTGTAAAAATAATTTGTCATTCATCTGTACATGGGGAATATCAATCACATGTCTAATGATTGAATATTAAAAAACAAATAAAACAAATCAACATAATCAAATATTATTTTGCTATGTTTTACATTCTTATTCTCGATAAACTGTATAATGAATGGTAGACTGTTTATTGTACTATAGATGGTTTATATCACGTTTTTATGTCTTTTTTTTCTCCTTAGAACAACAAACGACATATTTTTACCATAACTGAGGTATATCCGGGTATACCTTCTATATATCATAGAATGTTTTTTTTTCTTTCGAATTGTGCACAAAGAATAACAATGTGAATATCGAGAAACAAAAGTCAAATATTCATGACAAAAAAAATCAAAATTATGGCACAATAGACGATATCAACAACTAAAAACTGTCTATTCTAAAACTTTCATTTAATATTTGTTTAATCGTATATCGATATTTGATCAAACCAGGAAGCTATATTCATCATCATCATCACCTATAAGTCTTCTCTCTTTTTCTCTTTCTCTCTCTCTCTCTCACTTTTTCAATTTTGTCCTGATTTTCGGTAACTTTAATCGTGTAAAAATATTCATTGCATCGTTTCGTTTTTATTGCATAATATTCTGTACAAATATACAATTCTCATTTTTCTGTCTACGACTCTCTTTCTCCTACTTTCTCTCTCTCTATTCCAACAATAGTGGCATGCGAAAAAAAAAAAGAAGAATAAACATGGAAAAAAAAAATGGTTTCTGGCAACTTGAATAGATGAAAAAGTAAAAACTGTCAGCTATTCAAATATACATTGTCCAGTAACCAATTATTGAACAAATAGTAGAACAAATTGATCATGATTTATAAATATATACAATGGTGGTACTGATGACAATTGCACATATGGTTGATAGAAACACAAAAAAAGAAAGAAGTGAACGCTATTTAATGAGAAAATTTATCAGACACATTTTTGAAGTAAACAAAACAAATAAATATGACAATAAAGAAAACCTCCTCTAAAAAAGAAAAAGGTCATTAATTCTTAATTTGTTTTTATTGTTGAATTTATATGAC